TCCAAGCAGTCACTGCAGAGTCGGTAACGACTGAGCGCAGATAAAAAAAAAAAAAAAAATTCCTTTTAAACAAAAAACAGGTGGACCTTGCTATCTGCAGTTTTGCATATCTGCAACTAATAATTAGAGATCCGATTTCAATAGTTGCAGAAGGTTTTTTGCATATCTGTTTTTCGCCATGTCTGGTTACTTTATGCATGTACTTAAATGAGAAGTGGACTTTGTACATGCATAAAGTATGTTTTTTTAGGGTTAGAGCTAGGTCATTTGTGCAAAGTACCTGTATTTGTTTTGTTTTTTTTCCTTGCTAAGACATGATGGATCTTGACAGATCATCCCAGCCATGAGGCTTCACTTGGTTTTCTGCAGCAGCTGGCTCTCTCTGGAGCAACTCACTTGGCTGCTGATGGAGATGCCACATGATTCATGCTGACTTCTCCACTCTGCATGACATTTTTACAGTCTCAATGGGGAGGCCTCTCTATTGCATCACTGGATATCAGTGTTGTCTGCAGACTGCTTGCAACAATCTCTCAATTGCATCATCGGTTGCTAGTGCTGCCCACTGACCACTCATATGCTATGAGTTTGCTGTGAGGAAGACACATGAGCGTTATGTGAGGATCTCATGACTGGGTGGACACAGTGAGATTTGCTAGGACTGAGCAAGAATAGGAAGAGCAAATACAAAACCATTGCACAGATGACTGCTAGAAGAAGAAGAAAGGAAATCCTCATGGTAGGAAGAGATGACCATAGAATCTGGAATTCTCTCCCCCCCACACACCTGCCTGCCCAAATTCCCATAGAGTTCAGGTCTCATTATTTGTGATTTCCTTATCCACAGTTTTACACCGGAATGGAACCCTTGAGAAAGACAAGGGTCATCTTTACTAAATACTGAATAAGGCTTTCATGGACATGCATATACTCTCTCATGGTGTTTGTATCTATCAACACAATACAATGTATACAGTCATATCCAGACTCTATTCAGAAGTGAGATGCTAGCTATTATTTTTATCTACTACATATCATCACACAGATATTTAAAAATACTTACAGCTGATGTGAAACCTTCAATATGAACATCACATCCTATAGAGGCCAAGTTATATGTGATATACATCTAGTATTACACCTGAAATTCCTGGCATTGATTTAGCAAAACATGTTACCATTTCAAGCATGAGAACAGTCAGAATTATTAACAGTGCTAAACCTACATGACATACTTTGCCAGAATGGAATTGAAAAAACCAAACTCTGATTTTTATTTTATTGTTATTAATTTAGTTTTAGCTCTACAGTTAGATTTCTTTATTACTGAAATAAAATCCTAGCACAATTTCATGTTTATAACTAACTTCCTCTGATTGAGATAAAGCTAGAGGTGAGGTATCAATCAATAAACAGAGTAAATGCTTTGTGAAACACTGAAAGTGGGTAGAAGAGCTGGCTTTATGGATTAGTTAGCTCAACACTAGGACATATATACACTGCATTTCAGGGAGAGCCTTTGCAGCTAATAGTCTGTGCAGTGCGGTTGCCATGATTGTTAAGCAGAGTAGGGAGACTGAAGACCTATGCTCAGCACAGGTACTAATTCCCTCTGCTAATATTGCTGTCTTTGAGAGATCCAGACACGTACAAACATGCTGATGGATCAGGTACTTCATAAATAAATAGGTGCTTGACATGTATTCCTATTATACTAGATCAATCAAAACTACATTGCAGAATAATCTGGGTAGGTAGTTTTATATCCATATGTTTACAGTCACAGGCAGCATAACCTCATAGTTATATACAGTTTGGCTGAAAATAAGTTAAATGTTTAAAAAGCATATAGTTTAACTTAGAATAACCTTTCACTTCTTTAACTGTTGTGGTGCTCATGTGCAGTTGGTTTTTGGCAAATCAGCATATTTCTCACAAAAAAAGTGTTCTGAAATGGCCACCACACTGATAATATGATAAATGTGGTACTTCAGGAGGTTCCTGTGAAACACAGAACCACCTACATGTAAGCTGAAATCTACACTGTATTAGTTTACAAATATTTTCCAGTTTACAATGGTAAAAACCAGTAACATCACAACGTATATAAATGCTAACTGAAGACAAGTATTTTAAAATGGAATAAAAAGTAGCATGTTAAAAACTGTATCACATACACACAGCAAAGAGAGCTGTGTTTTAAAGGGGGGGGGGGCAGAAGCAGGAAAAACTGTCTAAACTCCAGTCCAGTTTTGTAATTTGTATCATTCCTATGATATTAATCAATTTAAAAATAAAACTCTAAAAGTGCATAACTTTTCTTTTTTTTCTTTTTCTAAGGCTCTGAAAATAGAACACAAAATCAAAGTACATACTTGAGTGGCATGTAAAAATTCTATTCAATGTGCATTATATATGCATCTGACGGCAATGCATTAAAATAATTGTTAAAAACTGTAGATGAATTCTTGAAAAAATTGCACTGAGATTTTTTTCCTGCAAAGATAAAGTCTTGAGATAGTAATCAAATAATTTTGTTTTGATTCCAAGCTAGTTACTATACTATCAGTTTTTCATTAGTTTGAATTAACTCAACAAAACAAAAAGTAATTGGTCACAAGTTAGTTCCCCAAACCACAAAAGTTAAAAAGCTGCTGTTACAGATGTACAGATGAAATGTTGATACAGAAACTGGAGCTTCCATCAGAGTCCCACGAAGTTCAGACAACCAGGGAAAACTGATCCTGCTCTATAGGCTTCTCCACCCAGGCCCCAAGGCCAGCCTTCAGAAATGCTTTAAACAAACACTCTTTGGCAGTTTGATATTCTGCAGCTACCTGTTTTGTTTCATGATACATATTTGGCTTATTGACTTTTGAATGAAGGCTGGCAGGAAGCTGGACAAATCAAAGAGAAAAAAAGAGATGTTAACATAAAGCAACATCTTGATTGCTCTAAATTCTTGCAAACTGAAACCCAATGAACTGATTTGTTTTCTGATAAAACTTTCCATTAGAATCAATATCTAAATCTACACAAAATACCCCACATCCCTCCTCCTATTTTGTAATTTCAACATTAAACTGCAATGCTTTTGAACCCACAAATAAGTAGTAAGTGTCCAAAAGCTGATGCAGAATTTTACTAACAGAAAAAAGCATTTGGATTTAAAACCAACCCATCCTTTCCCAGTAAATTACTCATTTCTGTTTCATGGTTCATTCCCCTTTAGCAAGGGCTGTTGAAAGCAGAACAGCCCCCAAAAGGTTATTTGAATCATGCTCAGCAGGATGAAGATGCCGCCAGGAAGGGAGGAGCATCCCATCTTGCAGCCCCTCCTTTTCCGGAAGGAAAAGGGCTCGCGGGGCTACAGCCAATATGCTTCGTCATGCAGAGGCAGGTGCTTTGGATCCAGCTGAATGAAGATTATGGAGAGAGACATTCTTATCCCTCCAGATATTTTTGTAGATTTTTAAAATTACAGTAGGTTTCTCTAGCTCACAATATCTTGGAGTAGTCAGGTTCTTTGTTTTAAATATGTTTCCTCTGTAACTTATTCATGTCTTTTTATTCTTCTCAACTCAACAGAATAATGAGGAGAAATTATGTCAAAGGGTCTTGTCCATTAGCAAGATAACTCTCCAAATAATTAAAATAGAATTCGATGTGAGGGAGAAGTTCGCAAGACAAATCCTGAGCTCAAAGAGAGTCAAGTCTGGGCAGGGGATGTGAAATTAAGCATTCCAGAAAAAATTACTCCAATTCACCCCTATGAGAGGAGTGGCTAGACAGCAGCTCAAAACATTACTGACTGTTCATTCTAAACCCAACTCCTTCCTATATGACCCAAAGAGGAGATTATATAGCCTGCCCTGTACACAAACATGAACAAAAAAAAATACAATGGGAGAACAGAAGCACCCATACACCCAACACACATCAGTTTGTTACAAAGGAAATAGCCACTGCTGGTAAAGGGGTTGGAAACAGTTTTAGGAGCCATGCTCTACATGTTTTCTCTACCTTGCTATTGCTTAATTGTTTTTCTCTTGTTAATATTTTCTGTAACTTTGTAATTCTACCTTGGGAATGTAAGTGGGAAGAAAAAGGAGGAAGGAGCAAGTGGTCAATATCAACTCCCAAGGGTTGATGGGACTATCCAAAGAGTCGATGTTAGTAGTAGTAGTAGTAGTAGTAGTAGTATTGGTAGTACAGTTAAAGTAGTATTTATTAAATTATTTTTGTATAATAAATGTTTGGGGGTCAATGAACAATCTGAAACTTCACGGAGAGGTTGATAAGCTGAAAAGTTTGGGGACCCCTGGTCTAGACTTTTTTCCCAGATCATTTAGGCCAGATTTCTTAATATGGCAGCTATAGGCAAAGATTTTCACTTGTCCTATTCTATGAGATAAATAGGAGATAGGAAAAGTATCTACACCATGGATGGGGAAATTGTGCCTCTGCACATGTAAGAAAAGCTGAAAATTTCCTACATTTCTTATAATTGATGAGGCTGGCTGGGGTCCCTGGGAATTGTAGTTGAGCAACATCTGAACAGCTAATTATTCCCCATCCTGCATTGACTCAATGAAGCCAATGTGTCCAAGCTCAGGTTGTTCTTTGAACAGCAGCAACAATAAAATCATATTTGATGTTTCTCAGATTTCATACTTTGAAAACATTTAGCTCTCAGAGACAAAAGCAGATAGTAAGTCCAGTAGCTATGAAGTAACACTGGACTATTTTTTAAACATACCTTTGCATAAACACGCATCCAGCGAGTATATAATGCATGCTTACAAAGACGGGATGCACGACCAAGCTCATCCTTGCCTGTCGTAGCATTAATAACTTCCAGGCCAGCATCTCCAACTGTCCAGTTTACACTGAAATTAGGTGCTTTTCCTGGCTGACGGGCTTCAGCATTGCTAATACCTGAAATAAACAAACAGAAATATTATCAACATCTGGGAGAAAAGAACTTATTCTTGTTTCACCTGCAAGACAAATTTTCATTCTAGTTATTCTGGAGAAATTGCTGAAAAAGTGGCACATGCCTCTTGTATGCTCTTATTTTAAGGCAAGGATATTCAGCTATAAAAATCGTAATCCCAATTCAGTGAATGGAGAAGGAATAGCTAGCATCCCATGTGCATTATAGATGTAAAACATATAAACCTGTATAAGACAAAAGTACCTGTAAAGTATAGTTTAGATTTAAATGTAACTGAAATCCAGATAAGGGGGAAAGGGCGTTATTAGAATTCCAAGAAAAAAAAAGGAAACCATTTATGAACAGACAGTAGCGTCTATTCCGCAACCTTTCTCTCAAAACTCCCCTATGAGCACTTTAGTTCTCCAGGACATGGCACAAGATGCTCCTCCTTCTGTTCTTCCAAACACTACACAACATCCTGTCCTCAAAACTGAGATGGAAGTTCAGTATGGAGCAATGCATGGAAACATCTTTAGTTCAAGAAACCAAGCAATTTAAGAGATTAATAGCATTAAAAAACCAGACCACAAAAAGTATCTGAAAACATATTTAGAAACTGTATCATGCTATGGGGTAATACCAAAAATGGTTATGAAATTCTATAAGGAGAAAGTATGCATGGACTGTAGTTCTATTTTAGAGATCAAATCATTTCCAATGTTCAGTAAAAGTTAATATACAAGACTAAGCACATGTGGATACAAAAGCAACAATAATTTGTTGTTCTTATGTTATCCATGCCTTCAGTTTATATATATTAAGAGAGAAAAAGTATACTAACACTTTTCGGAATTCATAAAATGTATTTACTGTAATATATTTTTCTTCTCCCTGGTTTTAATATATTTAATCATAATCTTCAGCATATAATTATCTTTTATCTATAATTTCTTAACCAATCCACAAAATACTTTCTTAAATGATTGATAATGGTACCTTGAATTGTATTTATTTGATTCAGTGGGGTTTAGTGCTAGGAAAATTGATATAAGTTTGCACCTTAATTATCTTTTATGGGGGGTTCATGTAGATTAAGCACCAGTTTGCAAAAGATGTAACCAATCTACTTATCTATATTTTGAAAAATCTCTTTGCTAATTTCATGACAAGGCAGGTTTATGACTACAAGAACAAATGCAACCCTAAATTTAACTTTCTCCAAGGTACCATGTAATGGAACCTCTAATAATGTAAATCCACAGAAGTCGATTTCTTCTTGAGAAGAATTATGTGGATCAAAATAACTGACTGTAATCAAATATCTTTACCTTTAATAAGGATAATCAGGAGGATATCTGGCTCAATTCCTATGAAAACATAACTCTAGTCCCCCACTTAGATTAACTAGCCAAGAAAAACTTGCTAGGGGCCTTTTTTCTTAGAGTCTTCCCAAGAAAAGAAGAAATGAAGACAAGCCTTGCTCAAGGTTATACAGAGTGAGAGATATCTAGGACTCAGGAAAGAGTCACATGCAGTCTCCAAAGTTCAAGAAGTAATCAGTTAAACTGTAGTAGAGTTTTGATTTTATTTTAGACCAACCTCTGAGACTGTTCTGCTCAACACTGAAAGGTTTGGCATCAAAAAGAGTGAAAAGTGCCATGATGAAGATGGAATAGGTTGCCAAGAGAAGCAGTGGATGGGCTGGGTATGAGGTCCTCCTAGTATGTCCTCAAACTGTGCAAATATTTATTCCTTCCCATGTTTACTAGGGTGAATCTGAGAGAATAAAAAAGCAACTGCGGAGGAAAGCAGAAATTTAACAGTACGGGTAGTCCTCACTTACTGACCATAACTGGGACCAGCAACTCTGTTACTAAGTGACGCAGTTGTAAAGTGAAGCATCATATGACCGTGTCCAACTTAGTTCTGGCTGCAGTCATTAAGTGAATCACCGCAGTCATTAAACATGAAGTCGTGTGACCGCAACTTGCGACTTCCTGCCAGCTTCCCCATTGACTTTGCTTGTCAGAAGCTGGTTGTGAAGGTTGCAAATGGTGATCATGTGATGTTGTACCTAACAACTGAGGTGTTTTGTTTGAATGGGCTTGGGTTGCCAACTGCCTGAATTGCAATAATGCGGGGACGTTGCAATGGCTGCAAGTTTGAAGATCAGTCATACATCTCCTTTTTCAACCCCATCATAACTTTGACCGGTCACTGAACAAGCAGTCCATAAGCAAGGACTACCTGTATACTAAATATCTAAAGGTTTCCAATTTTGAAGACTTCTGAGACAATAAATAGGAATGCTCTGCCAATAAGCTTGTTGCTAGGCTCTGAATACCTAAAAATGAAAACCTGAGCAATAGCAAAGTAATCATCAACTCTAGACATAGATCTATACCTATGTAAAAGGCATAACTGCATAGAAATTCTATTAGCCATGCAACCTACAACCCAGCTCAGTCAGTAATGACCAGGAAATGTCTGGCCAGAATGGAGCCAATCTCTATTGCATAACTCCAACTCAGCCAATACTGTACTGGGATCCCCAAGCAGGCCTGTCAATGTGTCCATACCAACTGAGGTAGGAGGGCAAGTTGTGCGAATTCACAGATGACCACTCAAAAACCTACAGTTTCAGAGACCTTATCAGTCCATCATACTCTCCATAATTCACATACTTGGGTGATTAGCAAGATTCTTATCTGGAGGAATTCTGATCCCTTTGGGAGTGAAGGTTCAGTCTATAAAACTAGATGGTGATGGAGGGATGAACTCTTGTACAGGTAGTCCTCAGGTTACGACCATTAATTCAGCGACCATTGAAAGTTACGCCAGCACGTAAATGAATGAGTGGTACTAATGAACGGTTCTTGGAGTTCCAGCCACTGCAGCATCTCCGTAGTCACGTGATTGTGAGCTGGGCACTTGGCGCCTGGCTTGCAATTATGATGTTGCAGCGAGCCACAGTCACACGATCACAATTTCCAACATTCCCTGCCAGCTTCTCATAGGCAAAGTCAATGGGGAAGCCAGCAGGGAGTTGGAAGTCATGGTCACGTGAGATCCGCACTTAATGACCTGCATGGTCCTCACTTAATGCTGGCAACTGGGACTGCTGGAACTGCTGTCGCTAAGCAGCGTGGTCACATGACATCGCGCTTTATGACCATGTTGCTTAGCAACAGCAATTCTGGTCCCAACTGCCATCGTAAGCCAAGGGTTACCTGTAGCTGCCCACACAATTCTGGTAAGAGAATTTGTAATACTTATTTGGAGAAACAATGAGTAGGAAGCCCATCACCTTTACACAGGCCATGAGAGGATAAAAATAAACATGGATGGCAGTAAAATGGCATTGTACAGTTCAGATAAAAAGCAAGAAGAATGCAATGAATTAAGTGATATTTCCTTTGGAAGGAAGAAAATATCTCTGACTACTTTGTCCCTATAAAAATTGAGGAAAGCAGTGTCTCTCTGCAAGGTGCACAGTTCTCCATCCCAAATAAACCAGCATCAAAGCCACCAAAAAGGCTGTCTCCTATGAGAAAATCTGAATTGGGGCAGTAGCCATATTTTGATGTTAACACAGAAAGAACAAGGAAAAGGCTAATGCTAGAAGCAGAATGATGCTAGAAGACAGAGATGTACTAAGCATAAAATGCTTGATCAGTGGAATGAAGAAAACAGAAGTATTTAGAGACCAGGAAAAAAAGGAGTTGGCAGCAAATATATTGGAGATTTTTGAAAAAAGGAGATGGCAGCAAGGCCAAACCCTGCTGTTTTAAGTAGAGGAGAAAAGCCAGATGATGGACACAATTCTGTAAATCGTTAAACTGTTGCTTCTGAATGAAGTCCCAAAAAGATGTCCATTTGACTGCATAGGAAACCTTAATAGAAGACTTATAAGAGATCAGCTTGTTTTATTTTGTCTCAGGTTGTGAAATTAAATTTAACGTAAAAGAAGCATCTTTGTGCCACCTTGCTTATGAACCAGACTTCATGGAACTGTCCAATATAATTTAACTGTTTAGCTATACAGACAGTCCAGCAGTCAGGATACCTTCCAAACTGTGAGAAACTCAAGCTCACTGATGTGATGAACCTTATGCTTAGGCCAGGTATCTCAGAGGGTTTGAAGGCAGCTCACATGTGGACATGGATGCATCCGTATATTTAAGCTTTGGGAAGGAGGTGTGAAAGACATATTGTTAGAGAAATTGTCTGAATTTAGTCACTAGTATAGGGATCTTTTGACTCAGGGAGAATCAGGAGGAAGATTTGTGCTATAACCATTCCTAGAGAAATGGAAAGGAGACAGTGATGCCTGGATGCTATGGATGCATAGATCAGTGAAATGGATGGCTGAGGTTATAGTTGACATGAGATCCAAGAGTTGTAGAATGAAGCACTCTGATTTTTTGTTGTTGTTAGGAGAGGGATACTGTGTATGAGCACCTGAAGTGTATGGAGTCATGATAACAGTATGAAAGCAGACTGCTTCAACAGGATAATCTGCAAGAGGAGAGGGAAAGAGTTTTCAGAATTGACCTAAAGACAAGGCTTTGTAAAAGGAGAAGAACCTAAGTATATTGCAAGTAGCTTTGCGTGAGAATATGTAGCAACTGTGGCATCTGTGACATGTGTGTGTGTGAAAAAGTCACAGCAGTGTGATTGAAGACCTACCCCCTTGTAATGTATGCAACAGGGCCATAAAGCTGAAGGCTGGATATGCAGCAGAGAGAAACAAAGCAACTCTGCATAGATCCAGAAAAGCTGAGAGGACAAATAACAGTAAATACAATAAAACACAATACAATAAAACAGTTTTTAAAATATGAATCATGTTAGAAAGAGGGCTCCAGGGATGAATATGCTATTATTCTAGCAGTCCCTCCACCCCCCTAAAAGAAAACCTGAAGAGTTTCAGTAGATGTCACATGTGGGATGGGACTCTCACCAAACTTTTCTGCAAGCTCTAGAAGGTCATAACCTATGTGTGTGAATCACAGAGACCACAATGAGGTATTTAGCCAATTGACTATGTTAACACAGACTACTATTAAGAATATTTTAATTATAAAGAACGTTTCGTAGAAGAAGGTTTCCAGAGTTGAAAAATCATGGAGAATAATGTTTCCAGTGTTTCCTTAGGATTAATTTCAACATCATGAAACAATGTTAAATATTACAGAGTCTTGGGGAGCTGTTGAAAAGTTGAGAAATATTATCTATCAAAATAAGAATGCTAATCCACCAGGTTTTATTTCTTCCACTACAATTATTTTTGTGGACTCTATAGTCACATTAGAAAAAATTAAGAATTCAAAGGACAACTACTTTTGTTAGTATTTTGCTCTTCAGCTAGTACTCAGTACATCAGAAACTTGAAAATCCAGAATTTGTTATATTTATAATGTATATATCTTCAACTTTCTTACAAATGCTGGACAATGTATCTGTACCCTTGTTAAAAGATTTATGGTGGAACTTTATCTAATGTATAATTTCATGGTTCTTTGGGGAAAGGTTTTTTTTTTACATAACGCAGCCATTTAGACTGCTTGTATAAGCAATTACTAGTGTACTTAAATAGGCTTCTTAGCTCCCCTGGTGAACATTCTCCACAAAAGTACCAACATTTCATTTTTCTTCAGCAGTGGCAATTTTTAACAAAAAGCAGCCCTTGGTTCTAACAGCAGTCTTCTCACTCACTTTGCACTGTTCTTAAATTATCCTAAAACGAATCACAAAATTATTCACAATGTGTTTCTCCATCCTAATTGAGTTACTAAATGAATTAAAACTTTGAGCAACATTCCCTTAATAAGGCATAGACATTTGCAGCCATATGCAAAAACAGTAGGAGGCTTCCTCCAGGCCCATCAATTCCACCATGTTTATCCCTAGTTTTGTACTGAACCACAGTCAATAGCAACACTCAAGGTTATTCCAAGCTCTTGGAATACTTTACTACTTACCAAAGTTATCTTGTTATTTGTGATACTTTGAAAAAATGACAGCATTAGCAGAGATTCAGTTTTTTCTTTCATTTCATGCTTACCACTGAGTAAAGGTCTGTTAAGCATATAAAGAGGTGGTAGATCTTCAATCTCTGCTATCCGCTGGTATGCTGCCCTGGACAAATGGTCTCCATGATACAAACTTCCCAAGATAATGCTTGAGAGATATATTGGCTCCACAAAGAGGCTAAGTAATGCTCCTTGAATACCAAGTACGTTCCACCTAAAGGGAAACAAATAACATCATCTGCTTTTAGCCTATGTCAGCAGCCAAGAATGATAATAGGAGAGTGAAGCAAGTTTTTGTGTTTGATTGCCCCTTAAGACTCACCCCGCCATTTCATTATTTTTTCAACTTTTGCTAATTTGTTGCCAGGTCTTCATAGCAAAACAGCACCCTTACAACACATTTCCTAGAATTCTATGGAAACATAATCCAGTTTATACAACTGCAAAGAGGAAACAAAATCCTTTGTTTCCTGGCAGTTGCTGTGTCTTATTAATTGCCCTAACTTGGCTGAAGGGAAAGAAAAGCTCTGACTCTCTAAGACACAGTGTGACTAGTTTGTAAGATTCTCTCACCCGTCACAACCTGACTCTGCAGATAGTGTACATCACATAGTAGAGCTGTGCAGAGCACTCTCCGATCAAGCTGTGTTGGATAAGCATCGATTTTTGAGCCCCGAGGATGTTAACAAAGTACCTGATTATGTTTACTTGACTGACCATTGCCGTTTTTGGCTTATTAGGTGGAATAGTGGGGAAGATGACCTGCTGAATCCATGTTGTTGTCAATTCCTCCTTTATGGCATCTTTAAGGGTGACTTTTGTAAAAACCTACTATGAACCCAATAAGCTGGCTCCTAATATCTTCTTCTAATACCATTGATCAACATATTCTTCTGGATAGGATATCTTAGTTGAGGTACGAGGCACCTGTACTAGAATGGTTTCACCAGTATTTGGATAGGTGATTTCATATGCTGGTGCCCGGAGACTATTATTCTGTCCAGAATGATTATGTTATGGTGTTCCTCAGTGTTCCTTTTACTTCCCATGCTTTTAAACATCTCTACTGAAGTTATTAGAGTTACCAAATGTGGATCACACTGAGTGTCACCTTTTCTTTTGAAGTAATTAATATTTTTAACTAGTATCACGGGAGGGTAATGGACTGGATGAGGCCAATAAACTGGAATTTAACACAGTCAAGGTAAAGATACTGTTTTTAAGTGGGTCATACATTCAGTTAGGTGGTGTTCAACTGTTGACCTCAGTCTGAACTGAGCCTTGAAACACTAGAAACAATGAAATTGATGAAGTGCTGACATAATAACTGGTCCTACAACTGTATGATGTATCGGTTTAGAGTAAAAACCTATTTTACAGAGGTGAGAGGTTACATTTCATTGGCTAGCAAAACCTCTTAACCCAAGATAATTTTCATTACAAGCATTAGGGATATATAGTGTCTGAATGTGCATAGATAAATATTTATGATAGCTTAATATGCACTTCAATAAAACCTGAAAGGACTTTCTCATATTAGCTAAATAAAATTAAATGCAATTGAACTACTCTGAGTAGTATAATTAGATTGGGATATGCAGAATTTATTCTTACACATTTTGAGTAGCATATGTTCTGAAATTTTCTTCCTTTTTAAAATAATATTTTTATTAAAGTTTTACCTAAATAAAACTAATACAGAACTAAAAAAGTTATACAAACAAAAAAGAAAAAGAGAGAAAAAGAAAGAGAAAAAGAGAAAAGAAAAACATAAAAAGTGACTCCCTCTCCCTCCAAACAAGAATAAACATTTGCAGTAACTTAATACCTTCTCTAGTATTACAGAAAAAAAACTGTTCTTCCCATTTCTCATCCCTTAACAATAGCCAAATTATTAAAAAATTCATCAGTCAGTCTTTTTCAGCAAAAGCATTAAGAGTACCAGTAATACTAACCTATATATTTTAAGCTTAGACAAATAAATCCATTATACATTTTGACTTATAACTTTGTCTAATAAATAAAACATAAAAGGTTTATCCCCATAGGCATAAAAAATACCAATAATAGTAACATATGTATCTTAAACTAAATCAAGTAGGTCCCTTTTACATTCTAACCTACAACTTTCTTCAACAGATAGGACATAGACAACTTATCCCCAGATGAAAAAAAATCTTTAAATCCTCGTCCTGGTAAAAAAAAAAAAAAAAA